TATCAAAATTCATGGGTGGATTTCGATTGATCAAAACTCTTCCAATACCATATCTTTCCCACATGATAGATTTTCACTTATATTTTAGATACTAATTTTAATTACTTTTTACAATACAAAATTAATAATAATTTATTGCAGCTATGGTTGTTCATCAAACTGATGAAACTGACCAATCTAACCAACTTGAAATGCAGAAAAGTGGAAAAATTCTCATATTTCTTAGTCTAAAATATTTTATATCATAAATTTTATTCTTAATAATGTCACTATAATTTTTATATTTAAATTTAATTTTTTAACGTTAAATCTTTTGAACCAACCAACCAAACTGAAAAAATGACCCAAACTAATACAACCCAAGTTGCCTAGCTTTCACTAATGGTCAATCAGGTTCGGGTGACTAGCTTCCCAATTTGACTAGGTTGATTTGGTTGGCCAAACAGCCTACAACCAAATAGAACCAACCCATTAACACTCCTAATTTTAGCTAAATTAATAGTTTAATATGTCTCTAATAAATAATAATAATAGTTTAATCTCCAATAATTATTGAAAATTTATTGCAAAAATACACAATTATTGAAAATATATTGATAATGAAAATAAAATAATTTAAAATACATTAAATACTAAAAAATGTATTAAATTAATCAATAAATAGTGTAATCTCAAATAATAGTTTAATTTCTAATAAATATTAATCAATAAATTATAAAAAAGTACAATAAATATAATAAGTACTATAAATTAAACTTAAAAAGTTAAATAATAGTAATTTAATCTCCAATAATAATTGAAAATTTTCTGTTAAATAAAAAAAATATACTTATCACAAAAAATAATAAATAATTAATTAAAATACATTAAATATTAATTTTAGTATATTAATATATAATAAATATATATTATTATTTTAAAATTATTATTAATAAATATTAATTTTTTTGAAAGCTATTTTCTTGAATTGTTAATTAATATAAGTGAAATTAGTTATTTTGTTATTATTAAATAATTTCACTATTAATTATGATTTTCGTTATTATTCCATAAAATTATAATTTATACTATTATTACATAATTTCATTAATAATTTTGTAAAATATTAAATTATTACTAATTTGAATATTATGTCATAATTATTTTTCTAGTTTTAAGAAAAATTTTAAATTTAAATATTTAAATAATATATAAAATATTTAAAAATGTTCTTAT